TTTGTTTCAGCAAGACCAGACTAACACGGCTACATCTCTATTACTATTCTACAAGATTTATGTTTCTTAAGCCTATTATGCTTTAGAGCCATTATTAAAGTTAGCTGAATAACTCCTTAACTGACATTTTCAGCCATTTTAGTTCAAAATATTCTTTGCTACAGTGAATAGTTAAAAGAAAAAAATACCACCTCAACTTTTCCCCCAAAGTTTTTGATAGTCTAAGAAGATATGAATGATATTCATCCTGGAAAACACACACGACTGGAGAATTTGAGCATGATAAGACAGGGAAAGTAAGAGCAAATCTTTTTGCAGAGCTGTGATGAGCAAAAACACACTCATTTTGACTGTAAACTTTCATCCACAGAACTGACTTTCAATAAGGTGTCCTTGAGAGCCTGGAATTTTGTGGGGATGGATTTGTGAGAAGCAGGCAAAATGGGAGAAAGCATTTTTTAATCTTATAAAATACATCTTCACCTGGCTACATTATGAAGCCATAAAATGTCACTGATTACAAAAATCCTTTTCTCAAGGAACTCATTTAAAAAGGAAGTGGAAATTCACAGAGGTACTCATTACACTTAATACCTTCCTTACCATCTAATTTTGAGGCCACATTATGAACTCCATAATAAAATGCAAGTATTGTAGACCCAGCTTCAATTAAGATCATAATCACTTGTTGACATTCAATCAAAATTTTCAATTTGTTTTGGTTTTAAAAATACAATATAATGCTTGTACAATGTTCAGAAAGAAAAACCATATGTTTTCCCTCGAAGTACAGTTCTGACAATATACTTTATTCATTGGCTGAACCAACCTGCCTGGAAAAAATTAAATGACAAAAAATTAAAACCTTCAACTTTTACCTTCATAATTGATGTTATCATAAGCGATTAGGAGATTATGTTACTCTAAAAGCCACATTCCTTTACCTTAATTCAAAGTGCCAATGTGAAAAATTTAGCTCCTCTACTTAACTTCTTCCCATTTGTTATTTAAACTAATGATCTGAAATGACCCATTAAACAGTTCTTAACATAAGGGAAATTACTGCAAGAATCTTAAATGAGAAAGGAAACATATCAGCTGTATTTCCTTGTAAAACCAATAATCCTCTTTCATACAGTCCTTCCTTCCCTACCTCTCCAAAACCCGATCTTTATATTGGGCTCTCTTGACAAACAGACAAAGAACCATTAGCAAAGGTGTCTGACATTATGATGAGTAACTTGTTCAGTAGTGTGCCAAAATATACTGATACCAAGTAGTTTTGTTAGCAAAAAACACCTTTGCATCCCAAGAATCACCAACTGTCAGGAAAACAACCGCAACCACCACGATTAGAAGTGTTCATCTCCCTAAATCCCCGAATAACTTTTAGGACAAGCATCAAGTTACCATATGGATTGAATCTGAACCTGTGCCTCAGCAGTGGATGGATACTTG